TACCCAGAGAGATCACTGTTAAGTAGTAAATTGGATGTTTTCTTGTTTTTCAGAATACATCTTTTTGTGTGAACATTTTAACCATCTTGATCAGTGCCCCTCTCTACATAAACTTTTTTTTCTTATATTGTTGATGGACCCTTTATTTTTTTAATATGTGGTTCTGAGAATCGAACCCAGTGCCTTACGCATGTAAGGCAAGCGCTCTACCACTGAGCCACGACCCCAGCCCTACATAAACTTTCATTCGAAAAAAATTTATAGAGTAGCTTCTTATTCTTTAGAAAGTATACCAGGGAAGATAGCTTTTAAAGCCCAGTTACTTGGTTGAGATCTTTGGATCTGTCACTTATGAATAACCTTGGGCAACTTAATCTCTGCTTTTGTAAAATAGGGTTGTGTACTTATACCACAAAGAATGATATGAATTTAAGTGTGTCTTTGTTAAAGGACCATTTGCATACCATAGAATCCCACTTAAAAAAAAAAAAAGCATATAGCAATGGTTGTATAATACCATCATTTATTTCAGGATGTTTTCATCATCCCAAGTTAAGTCACATACCTGGTAGTAGTCAATCCCCTTTCTCCCACTTCTGGCAAATACTAACCTATTTTCTCCCTCTGATTTCTCTCTTCTGGACTTCTTTTTGATGCTGGGGTTAAGTTTTTTATTTTTTGAGGCAGGGTCTTGCATGTGTGACCCTCCTGCCTCAGCTTCTTCAGTCACTGGGTTTATAGGCAATGTGCTTCCATACCTGGCTGTACATTTTTTTTTTTTTTTAAATGGAATCACTATGTGATCTTCTCAGTGTTAAATGTTTCAGAGTGTAATTTCTTCTTATTACCATATTTCATTGTGCATACTATATATACTCATGAGTTGATAGGATTTTGGGGTTGTTGGCTATTATGAATACTATTGCTTTGAACATGTGGGACAAAGTTTTTGTATGGACAAGTGCAATTCTTTGAGGAACTGCAGACTGTTTTCCAGAACACATAGTATAATAGACCCACTTACATTAAAATCAAAGTGTTTAAGTCCACCCCCCTCCTTTTGCAGTCATTAAAAAGGTTTTCCAAACCAAATACGTGGGGGCATTGGAAATGGCAGTGAAGGATGTCACCGAGTAAATCTCCATTGAGAAAAAAGGTTTTTTAATGACTACAAAATATATCTTTACAAATTTCATCCAAAGCATAAATAGCTTATGTGAATGTTTACCTATTTTTCCTGATAGAATCTTCCTAAGAGGACTGTGTCACTGTGGTCTTACATAAATAGCCAGCTGGAAGACTTCACTAATCCTCTCTATGGGAGTTATTGCAATCATGTCCTTTATCCAGTAGCCAGCATGCGCCACCTAGAGCTCTGGGTGGGATATTACATAAGATGGAATCCACGGATGAAACCACAGGTATGATAAAAATGATGGGAGTTTTCATCTGAACAATGTAATTCTATTAGATGTGTCCCCTTTAATTATATATTTCTAGTTGAAATATTATCTGTGCATACTTATAACTTTCAACTATATCCATTGATAGTTATAAATGTGTATTGGAAAGAGTCCCACACTGGATAGTCAGTATACCTGTTTCTCATTTTGACTTTGGACAAATCAGTTCTCTTTGCCTAAGAAAATTCTGTTTCATAGTGAATATATTATTGAATGTTTACTATTAGGACTGAAAACCTACAATTAAATGATAGGAATCTTTTGACTACTAGGTTCTAATTGTCATAATTATGTATTATAATTGTTATATTTGTAGATGTACCGGTTCTAGGAGCATCTCCACAGCAGGTATTGTCTGGAAATACTTGAGGTCATTGGAAATGGCAGTAAAAGATTTAGTAATCACAGTAGTGTCCCTGAATTTAATCTCCACTGATGGATAGAAAAGGTGGGACTGGTTTGGACTGGTTCCAGTTGCTAAAAACAACAACAACAAAAAACAGTGTTAACACTGATGTGACCCTGGGTTTGACTAGGATTGCCTAGTTGAATAATTTTATGTTTTGCTCTTGTAGGAACCTATTCACAATAGATACAAAGAACTTCTTGCTAAACGAGCAGAGCTTCAGAAAAAAGTAGAGGAACTACAGAGAGAAATTTCCAACCGATCAACCTCATCCTCAGAGAGAGCCAGCTCTCCTGCACAATGTGTCACTCCTGTCCAGACTGTTGTGTGAAAGGATTGTGACTAAGGACATCATTGATATGAACTCTTCATTACAGTGGCAGCTTTATGAGTAGAAAGTCTCCCTATTTTGAACCCATCTCTGAGAGAAAAGTTCAGATGCTTTATTTATTTTAAGTCTCTCTAAGATGAGTTTAGAACTATAGCAATGTGGGTGGCTTAAGAGAAACAATTCCACATGTAATTACATGATTATGACACTAAACCTGTTCAGACATCTGGTAAAAGTACAAACTACTTTAGAAATACACCTCTTGATTGGAGAAAGCTCACTGCACAGAGGAACAAGTTTTCAAACCAAATCAACACTGAAGTTCTGTGGCATCATCTATATTAGGCCTTTATGTATGACAGATCAAAATCATTTAATACCTTTTTCTCCATCATGGGCTTTTCTTCATGTAGTAATTGATTTACATTGATCACTGTTCAACCTCCATTCTTAATATAGTGAAAGGCAAAGCATAGTGTGGCAGTAGTTAAAAATTGCTGCTGACATTATTTACATACTTAATTAGGGCATTCTACTGTTCCAGAATGATGCCTTAGAGATATGCTTAGGGGACCATAAGGAGACAAAGTGGTAGCCATTTTGGAGTTCAAAGATTTCTAAGACATTCAGATTAATTTCCATTTTTTTTCCAATTTTTTAAAAAAATTTTACCCCTTTCTGTTTTGCTTAATGCTAATTGGCAAGTTTTAAAATTTTTAAAAGACTTTTTTGGAAGACTGTATAAATAGCATATGGTGAGAAGTATAATGCTTAAATTTTACATGAAATACTTCACTACTTTATTCCACCAAATTAAGCCTACCAAAGAACACACCGCATTTAAAAATGAATTACAATCTCAATACCAGTAAAAGAAATCTTGCTTCACTGCTTGCCTGAGACTTTGGTGCTGGTATGGACATTTCACTGTCTGATGTCTATTTTACTCTATATGAGAGCCATATGTAATGTACTGTAACTAAGAAGCTTCTTGTCCCTTGGTCTTTTAATTAAAAGAAATTTCAGCTAATTTTAAAACTTTGTTTTTGTCTAAAGTTATATTAAGGGTGTGTGTGTGTGCACACATGTGCGTGTGCGCACACGCAGAACTATTTCTTGGAATTTTTTTTTCTGAGGAGTGCCTGGTGCAGGTGGAAATATTCAATTTTTTGACTCCTTGACTCCCAAATGAAACAAAAACTATTTTTCTGCTCATAAATTCACAGGTCTGAGTCTTATCCTTATTGTTGGTCTTAGAGTTGAAGAAATAGGGGGCTGGGATTGTGGCTCAGCAGTAGAGTGCTCGCCTGGCAGGATCCTCAGCACCACACAAAAATAAACAAAAATGAAAAAATAGTTATCAGTACATTCAATATTACCAAAATCGGGATCCACTGATTTTATCATATGAAATTTGTTACAAGAAAAATTTAACAGGTGTTTAAATGGCCAGTCAGTATTAAAGCTAATATGTCTAATAATAGAATATTATAGTAATAAAGCTAAATTTGGTATTCCAAATTTGATAAATCTATTCTCTTACTTCCCTCACTTAAGCTTTTTCATCTTGGTCTGATAAAACATAAAAGAAAGCTGAAGAGATTAAGAATTTAAAGCTTCTAGTCTTAATGTACTCATACCCACTAAAAAACCAAGAGAAATCTAAGTATAAAAAATTCTGTTTGCTAGGCATGGGGGTGCACACTTGTAATCCCAACAGCCTGGGAGACTAGGCACGTAGATCCAGAGTTCAAAGCAGCCTCAGCAAAAGCAAGGCACTAAGCAACTCAGTGAGACCCTGTTTCATTTAAATAAAATACAAAATAGGGCTGGGGATGTGGCTCAGTGTGAGTGCCTCTGAGTTCAATCTCTAGTATCCAAAAAATAAAGTCTTGTGTTCAAAACATTTCGGTGGTTTCCCTCACCCTCTGCAGCAATCTCCAACCTGGAGTTTATGTGCCTGAGAAGAAGACAAAGAAGAGAGCTAAAAATACATACTTGTCTATACAAAAAAAAAACTAATATTTCATGGGCATTTGTATGTTTTATGACTTTATATGTCTATGAATGAATATTAGTTGTACGGGTATGCGTTTTCCTTTATGATCAGGAATGCAAAATTTAGACACCAGTATGATCAAGTTGAAGCTCTTGCCTCCTTAGACTCTGCCTACCCCTCTGTTCTCATCTGCATTCCTTTTATATACCAATATTACTCTACTTATTCACAATTCTCCCATGTAAACCTCATATTCCTACCTGCCGCTTTTGTTTTTCTTCTATCTTACTGACCTAGACCAACTGTTATCTCTTGTGACTCAGTCCTGTTCTCTAGAAGTTAGGTATTATCTTTTCCTCCAGCAAGTTACTTCCATTCATCACACCTTCTCTGTCATGATCTGCCATGGCACTATGTACCTGCCTGTTAACTACTGCATTCACCACACTGTATTCAGAAAAACAACTTGGATGTCTGCCACCAGCCTGTAAAGACATTTTGATTACTCAGTTTGGTGTCCTTGTTGGCACTGTAGACACAGAAGATAGTTAATATGCATTGTAATAAAGCGCTAGTACACCATCAGTGGATGGATGTGTTCCCCTACTGTAAACTCTCAGGTAAGAAAACTGGACTAGTATTTAAGTTCTCACCTGAGAATATCAAAAACTGGAGAGGATACAGTTTGAATCCCAACCAAAGGATGGGGTGGGATTTAGCAGTATTTAATCACTCTTCTCCTAATTAGGATTTGTATTTACTACTATTCAAATGATGGCCATACAATTTAATAACCTGAAATTCAAACAAAGAGATAACAAAAGTTTAATAGCTGAAATGATGGCTGAGACACAAATATTTACCATGTTACCAGAGCAATTTCTCACCTTCTATGGACTCACTGTTGTCAATTCAATGACTGCAAACCTGCTCATCAGAAAATCACACGTATAAGCAAATGATTACATACACACTCAGGAGGTTCACAAAATAGGTATTTAGGACACTAAATTAAGAACCCTAGCTGTAGAAAAATTAATTCAATAAGAGGCTTGACAAGGTCAAAGTTCAGGTACTAGAATAAATCATGCTGTCTAGGTATAATCCTTAACCTCCATCTCAATCCAAGGAGAGGCATATGAAAAGAATTCCCTTAATATGTGGCTAACATGTCAATTAGCCCTTTTAGAGTATCTCATATACCATGAGGCAATTCAATCTTGTTGGGCTTAGTTTCTTCTGAAAGCATTGAAATGGTAAACATTTAAGTACTGAATATTAATATACTTATAATCAACATACTAATGTCCTATTTTGAAATGCATTTTTGAGAGTTTACAATAAATAAAGCCTTAGTTAATAGGCTGTTAAGGAAAGTTTCAGTGTTTCCTTAAAAAAGTTTATTGACATGAATGGCAAATTTATAAAAAGGTAACATGTCTTGATCTTTTCAAAATTATGACAACATCATTAAAATGAAAATTTTGTGTGTACAGTTATTTTGCTCATACTGTACAGAAAAAGGAAAGCAAATATTCACGGGGTTCTCTGGGTTTCAAGATTTAAAAATATCACAATGCCTTGACTGAATAACATGATTACAAATGGGTATATATAAAAACTGCAGATGTGTGTGCTTCACAACATCTCCCTTCTCTCTCATTCTCACTTTCTTCAAAAATCTCATTTATTAACAATTTGTTTCACTTTAAAAAATGCTTTCATAAATCTTACAGGTAGTTAGCTTAAAATGATTGCTTGGATCTTTAAATAAAACTAACAGTGGATTAAAAAGCAATACAAGTGCATTCAATACTGATCAATGTTTGAAATACCAAAAAAGAAAAAAAAAAAAAAAAAACAATAACCCAAATCCTCTTAAATATATAAATATGAAAACCTCCATCAATAGTTGAAACAAAGTGTATTTAATGGTTTTAAGGGAAAAGGGAAGTGGGCACTTTATGCCAGAAGATTTAAAAAAGACTTTTCTAGCAAACCCTGCTATGGAAAAGCCTCATATTTTGAAAATTTAAACCTAATTTGAATGAAGAACTATTTAAAAAAAAAATCACACCCACAAGTTAAAAAAAAAAAAAAAAGCCACCCGGTAATTTGTGAAGGTGCAATATGTCAGTGTAGCAAATTCATTTCAAAGAAACAGGGGCTTCTTAGGCCTTAAAACTCCCTTGGTTTCCATTAAAATGGTTTCACAGTTGTTCTGCGTAACACAGGACTGGGTAATGAAGCTTGGGCCCCCTAACACATGCTATTAATTAATTCTAACATAAGTGAGTATGAAACCTGGAAAGTGAATTGTCAACATCTGATTGATGAGGTACAGATTATCTGAATAAAATTTATGACCTGGCACGAGGAATCAGTAATCCCAACTCAAGTTACTGCTTTGTAATGAATTCTGTATGGTTTGCATGTCCTTCAATAACTGAAGATTTTTCCTGCTTTTTTCTCCAGGTCTCTGTTTGGCAAAATCCTTCTTACTTGTGGTCCCTGTGACTCCAGAACGGCTGCTGACATTTCCTTCTTCATCGAGAGTCTTTTTGTTAGCTCTTAATTCTTTCTTTTGCTTCTCTATCTTCTGTTTGTCTAGCTAAACCAAATAAGCAAGGTAGGGAAAAGAAGAATTTAAGGAAAACATTTTCTTCTGATGAGTACTTTTAAAATAACTCTCACATTAACAAAAACTCAAAAAATACATTCTAGGTATGTATTTTTAACAGCTTGAAGCCTATGGCACTCGTCATTTAATACTCAGTACTTAAAATATTTAACAGTATTAAAAATGAACAAAAGTACACACATCAATTCCAGTTCTTTATCATAAATTTAAGGCAGCACTACCCAAATCCAGAATAGGTGGGTTAGAAGGAAAGCTGAGGAAAGGACTGAGGAGGCAAAAAATGAGAGACTGGGAAAGGAAAAATGAGAAAGACTTTGGCAGATGGGGGAGAAGGGCATTGTAGAAACTAGTGTGAGAGGCCAAGAGGCAATCTGCAGATAGATGAAGAAATGTGGTAACTTAGTAATATGAAAAGGATTTTTAATTCATTATTTTTCAAATACTTTAAAATAAAGGAGCTTTATTTTTACTCTAGCAAAACTACTGTTTGCATGTTGGTTTTTCATTAGAATAAAGCCAAGTCTACTGTACAAGAAACATATTAGAACAATACTCTGAAGTAATTGTATGCTTCTATTTTTTTTTTTTTTTTAACATGAACTTTGGAAATAGTACTTTTTTAAAAGACCACATTTTGGATCCCATGTTTGCATTCCAGTTCTGCCATTTACCAGTGAACTAGTTGGGCCAAGTACTTTAGTTTTAAGTCCTTAGATAACATTCTTAAAGCACTTTGGCACTGTGTGTATCATATCATACCAATCAATAAGTAGTTGTCACATCTCTCAAACCACAATCTTTCATAATAAATCTCCCTCTATACTTTATCCAGCACCAAGTAGCCCTGATATTTCTATTTCTAAAACAAACATCAAATTTGTGCACCTCTGCCCAACTCCAAATACTATCTTGACCCTGTGACAACCATTTTCGATAAGCCTAACAGCCTAAGTGAACTCAGTCTTTTAGGGCCCTGATCTCATCCTCTTAGTCTTAGTAGTCTTAAATACACAAATCATTGTGTTTTTCTGTGCATGAAAACCCTGAGTATGATTTCACCACTGCACTAGTAAATACCATGACTGGTTTATGATGAAATCCATTCTAACTAAAGATAACATTTCTTTGCTAACCCACTTAATACTAATTTTAATACTCATTGTTTAATAAACTCAATTCTTCTGTAAAGAAGTGTCTCTGGTAGTTCTTTATGACCCACTTGGTGTCATTATTAATACATTTGAAGAAAAATATGTTTTAATTATTAAACTTCAGTGAAGGACAACTGAGTTACCTGGGCTTGGTATTTTCTGACTTTAGTTATTTGGTTGGCTTTTGCTTCCATCCTTCCCACTAATGCCTCAAGTTCACACTCTAAATTATCTTTTAATTCCATGGTTGGTGACTCCTGGATAAGTTTTGCAAGCTGCTGATGATCACTATATACAAAGCAAAAGGAAGACTTCATTAAGTTTCTTGTTTTATGGTTAGGTTCATTATATCTTACCATTGAGTCACTGCTGTGTGTTAAAAAAAATGACTCAGTTTAACAGACTACATATGTAGAAAGGAAATTCTAGACAAAGGTCTTACTCTTCAGATATTCATCCTAACTCATTAGTTAAGTTTAAATAAACAAATGTATATCAAGCTCTCAAAAAATGAAATAAAACTTCAATAAAAACCTTGTACTTCAAAACATTTAATAGGATCAGAAAAGGAAGACTTTACCCATAGTTATATTTGTTGAATTATTAGTAATTTTAATTAAATTAATTTAAATGTTAGATTACCTATAAATTGGCTGACATAGATTATGTTCAGTAATATTTCTTGAACAAGCAAAACTATGATTACTAAAGTAACCAAGAAACTAAAAAACAATAAGACTTTAGAACTGAATATATTTTAAAAAACAAAAACTAAAACTCACAAGCTCATTTGCCCAAATTCATCCTGCAAAGTCTGTAAGACTTCTGACAACTCTTCATTAATGGTGCTGGAGGAGGAAGGTGTTACAGACTTCTTATTTTTACTACTTCGTGAAGATACAGATACTTGTTTTGCCAAAGGAACACTGTTGACTACTCGGTCATTACACAAGGCTTTACTATGTTGTTTCATCAGATGCAAGACATGCTGAACATTGGCTACTACAGCATGGCTAGGACTGGTGGACTGGAGAGAAAATGATAAGTTAATTGAAGGTACATCCTATATTTCTGTTTTTCAATCCCAACCTGGGTAAAAGTAAATCTCCAACATAAAATTTCCTACCCTATAGTAAATTACTTAACCAAATTTCTTGGATGCAAATTCCAAAATATCTCCAATACATTTCTCTGCCTCCATCCTACTGTTATGCACCAACCTCTAACTATAAGAAGAACATCCCAATTGGTTTTACTTGCTCTCATGTCATTAACATCATAGGTGTATCAGTTATCCTCCTAAAATTATTATTGTAAGTATGCTGTTTCATTTGAAATCATTTGATTAAACCTGATGAGAAAGTCCTCAGCATGGAAAATACCACTGATATGCAACTTAAATACTCTTTGACTTCGTGTTGTACCACCTCCTTATTTCTATTTTGTGAACAAGTCATATCTGCAGATAACATTTCTTTTGTGTAGTAACTTATACCATTCTTTAAGACCCAGTTTGAATACATCACTTTTAAAGGTTTTTCTAACTGCCAGGTAATAATTGGTTCATTTCTCAGATCATTCGTAACACTTTCTACATATCCCTATTATAGCATTTACCACAATATAGTAATTTCATTTCATATATTTCATATCTACTTTACCTATTAAACAGTGTAGTTCCAGGTGGTCAAGATTTACTGTATTAATTTTTCCATCCTTGAACAGTAGGAAGCCCTAAATACATATTTGTCACATAAACTACATGAAGAGGAAAACTGGTAAGCTTCTCAAATTTTGAACAATAAACAACAATCCAAATATTCTATACCAGTTTATAAATAAACTGGGCTTGCTTAGCTCCACAAGCATCATTAGACAGCTGTTTTAAATGCAGATTCCAATGCAAGTTTCCAAACTTAATCGGCATGTGGTCAGGACTTGAAAATTTGTAATTTTAAGTGTTCAAAGTTGATTCTGATCAGCCAGCTGTGGTAGTCACTGTGCTTAGTTTCTGTTGTTAATCATCAAATTGAATGAAGTAGTATATAAAAAGAATTACACACCACATCCAAGTGGGGTTTATTCAAGAAATGCAAATGTGGTCCAATATTTGTAAATCAATATAATCACTGTTTTGCTCATAACCTGTTGTGCATATTCACTATTACTATGTATACTTTTTTTGGGATTGTGTGTGTCAGGGATTGAACTCAGGGGCACATGACCACTAAGCCATATCCTCAGCCCTATTTTGTATTTTATTTAGAGACCCCAAGGGTCTCAGTGAGTTGCTTAGTACCTCGCTTTTGCTGAGGCTGGCTTTGAACTCACGATTCTCAGCCTCCTGAGCCTCCTGAGCCACTGGGATTAAAGGCGTTTGCCACCACACTCGGCCCCACATGTACACTTTCAATATACAACAAATAGATCTAAATTCTCTTGTTCCTTCTACTGTTCCATTTATTAATGTTACTTTGTTGAATCTAGTCATAACTGAGACTTGTATTTTATGTCCTTATTTTTCTAGTAATTCACTCTTATTATATTTTACAAAGACATTATCTAAGATGATATGTAACTAAAGAGAAAAACTGGTCATTTTATCAGATAGACTGAGAAACTGTACAAAACCATAATTATGATGAACAGCTGAAGAAAAACCTGAAGAACAGCCAAAGAAAATATTTTCTAATCTAAAAAAAAAATAAGGAGGTAAGAAGAGAAATAAAGCTATTTTAAAAATCCAAATTTTCTGGTAATCGATGTAGCAGTGTCCCTGTAGCATGCTCTTTTTAGGTCTTTAGGGAATAGACCAAGAAGGGGAATAGCTGGGTCAAATGGATGACTAATGGTAGAAAATAAGTCAGGCAGAATTTACAAAGTAATAAAATTCAACTCATTTTAAGGAAGAACTCTAAAATAATGTTCAGAAATGTTAAGGGCTGATTGGAGTGTCTTAGAAGTATTCAAACACAACCATTGGTTTGGTTGTTTACACAATTAAAATATTGGTGTGGAATGTTACTAAGTGGGTACCAAATTTAACTGACTAGAGAGCAGATTAAAAATAATTTGGGGCCTAATATGCTGATTAGTTTAATTCAGGAAGTTTGTAGTGGGGCTTCATAATCTGCTTTTCAAAACTATGTTCAGTGTGATTCTGATGTAATTAGTCAGCCCTTAAGAAACTCAAAGATGCTAAGGTAAAGCAAAACAAAGAGCTTGGTGAGAAGAGGAGATAAAAGAATAGGTAAAATTTTGACTAAAATATAATAAGAGATTGAATTTATGGCAAAGGAGAACAATGACAATATTTGTAAATAATCTGTACCCCACACACCTACAAAGCAAAAGCTAAAAAGGTGGGATGTAATTCATTCTCCAAGCTTTCGCTGAGGGTTTGCTGTGGGTTTAAAATAAATAAACAAGAAAATAAAATTCAAAGTAACATCTGTTATCCAAGCCTCTAAAATTGACAATCCAGGTGGATAATCAAGCCACCTAAACATGAAACAACCAATTATACAAACAAATCACAAAAAAAAAAGTAGTATAAACTAAAAAGTATTTGACAAAATTATCAACTACATTTAAGCGCTAAAGGAACCTAAGATTCAAGTCTGTATGATGATTTCTTGAAGAATCAGTCCCACGTATGGTATGGATATGAGGACAAACAGGATGTGCTATTTACTTAAACATCTAATTATATCAAAGTATAAATCAATAGGGTTGATACTAAAAACCAAATGCTAAGTGGGTGTGGTGATGCACTTCCTTAATCCCAGTGGCCAAGGAGGCTGAGGCAGAAGGATTGCAAGTTCAAAATCAGCCTCAGCAACTTATCAAAGCCCTAAGCAACTTAGCAAGACCCTGTTTCCAAATAAAATATAAAAAAATGGGCTGGGGAGGTGGCTTGGTGGTTAAGTGCCACTGGGTTCAATTCCCAATACCTTCCCCTCAAGTCAAATGCTACAAATATACTATTTCTTATTTCCTTGACCCTTATCTGAAATGATATCTTCTTAAACCAGGGTAATGGTTTAAGAATGTGCTTTAATAACTTTTATCCCCGTTTCATTCTCATTCTTAGATTACTATGATCCACACTGGTAAATGGGAACAGATAAATGTTTTCATCACTCATAGGTATAGAGATAGACGCATGGAACTTAAACATGTATGTTGTATAAAGAAAATCTAGTTTGACCAACTCACCTTTCCGGCCACAAATGGCATATCACCCAAGCATAATCGATAATGTGGCTGCGCACCAAAATAGTTTCTAGGACCTTTCTGAATGAAAAGAAAAAAAAAAAGAAAGAAAATTTTAATTTATTCACATGAAGATAAAACCTGTCTATATACCACTAACCTGAGACTTCAGCTTACTACATGGGTTACTTAACTTGCCTCACCTATACTGATATTTTATTCTTAAGCAAGTCCCTAATAAAACTTGTGAACATGTATCTTAGCCTATGAAAAGTTAGGGGGGAAAATTATCTAACAAAACAGCAGTTATAGTCTAAGTAAAACAAACAAAAAGTATACAGATACATAAAACATTTTAAGAGCAAAAGGTAATTAATGCAATACTTAGTATTATTTATACAGTGTCCTATAGTTCTGAAATGTATCCTTATATATTATCTCACTATCAGGGTAAAAAGTTGAAAGTAAATATTATTTATCCTCACCTTGTGAGTGAAGAAACTGAGAATAAAAGAGATTCACTCTCCCAAGGTTGTAGCACCACACGGTTTATGAGTACTTTCACACAAATTACACCAAGTAATCAGCACTTTGCCTGACTGGTTCTGTTTTCATACCTTTTCTGGTGGTTTTGACTTCTTTTTTTTAATTTTTCTTGCATTGGGAACATATGAAGCTGCATTATCTTCAAAGATAAGTTTATTTGTTTCCAGGCCATTCTGCAACTAGGAAAAATTTAAATTTCAAGTTAAAGATGCAGAAATAAAAGTTAAGATTCAAATTTGAAATCTGCCCTGTAAAAGCTCTTAAAAACCAACATTAGTATCCGACTAAAAAATACATAGCTGGATAACCATGTTTTGAGCCAATCTTAATCTTGTTCACTTTTGTTAAATTAACTCCAATCTTTCTTTTCCCCTGCACTGTATGTTATAATTTATCCTTTTCCTAAGCTTAGAACCATAGCTCCACTATTTGTAGTTGCTTCATAAACTTCATCTAGTAAGTTAAATGCAAGGTACAGAAGCCCAAACTAATGGTTTGAGAGCTTCTCTTTTCAAGGATGTTATCTACCACAGTGCAAGCCAGACTCAAAGCAGCTGGAAAGCAAAATATACTTCTTCCTTTTCTTAAAAATTCATACATTGTAAGAAAAAGGAACTGGAATTGTATGTTCAAAAGTACCATAAGTTATTTTAGCAAATGTTATCAAGTACTTTTTCTATAGAAGCTTGGTATCTACGTTAATTTAAAATAATACATTATGGTAGAAATTCCACAAGCAATTACTAAGAATTTTTTTTTTTTTTTAAATCAATTTCCCCTAAACATTCAACATTCCTTAAAAATATATTTAAAAACTTGTCTATTGTTGAGTCACAGCTGAAGGCGCCCCAGCAAACTTCCAGCTGCCAGGAAACTTCCAGCTCCAGCTGATGATTGGCTCACAGCGGCCCCAGCAACTTCTAGCTGCCAACTGATTGGCTCCTCTGCGATGATGCTCATTGGGCTGTTTCCCCGCCCTTTCAGACCACGGAGCTGCTCACTGGGGGACGTTTTCTGGCTCCGCCCACGCGACCCAGACAATCGGCCTCAAGAGCAGGAGGACAGGGGGAGGTTGAGAGGCTTGTGGGAAGCGGATGGTGGCAGTTGGGCTGTGAGGGTTTTTCCTGAGGAGCTGTGTGGTGTGGTGTGTGTGTTCTAAAAATAAAGTTCGTTTCTTTTACAAGTGGCTCCTGAATTGTGTCCAGCCAGACTGTGGCATTTGGTGGGCCCCACTGGGAACAACTGAGGGTAAGTGATAAGGTAAACTGCTCGCCCCTGAGGGCAGGGCGAGAGGATGGGTAGCCATTTTAAGATTCTTCTTTTATTTTGTTTCACTTTTGTTTTAAGTTGCCTGTCCCTGGAGATGAGTGAGATGGAAGAAAAACCCGCTCACATCTGATGAAAAACTATTTGCGTCTGAGGAACAGATAGGGAGAAAGGACGGATGGACATTTCAGGAGGATAGAAAGGCTATAATGATTTTGTGTTGTTCCATTTTTGTTTCATTCTGTCTCGGTTTTGTTTGGTATTATCTTGTTGGGTTGTATTATAGTAGAAATATGGGATCAGAAATTAGTAAAAAACAAACCGAAAGAGTGTTAAGTAAATTGTTAGAGGAAGGAGGCATCTCAGTAAAATCAAGAGCAGTCAGGGCATACGTTGATACAATACAAAAATGTAGCCCATGGCTTTTTAAGGAGGAGTTGTTAAATATATCACAATGGAACCATCATGATGAAGATTTAAAAAGAATAGAAAAGAAAAGCCCAGGGACTCTGCCAGTTGGCACATTGTCATTGTGGACTTTCATATCTTGTTTGCTTAGTCCAAAGCCTTCAGTTCAGACAATGGTAGAGGAAGGAGAAGACATATTGATTCAAGTAAAAGAGAAAGTCTCTCAAGTTAGAGGAAAAGATTCAAGTAAAAGACAAGGTCTCTCAAACTAGTCAGACAGAGGAAGAAAGTTTAGAGCAGAAAAAGCCATCAGGGGAAAAGTTACAACAGGAGACTGCTACTAACACCTTTCTATCACCAGAGGGTGTAAGTGTCCAACCAACAGCGCCACCTCTACAGGAGACTGCTACTAACACCTTTCTATCACCAGAGGGCGTAAGTGTCCAACCAACAGCGCCACCTCCATATGCTGGGAGGCCTCCAACCCCCGCAGTTGATAGTTGAGATCCTGAGACAGGATCTCAAATATTAACATGCCCTGTATTTGAGTAGGCAGGAGGGCAGCGAATTCACCATGCTTTAAATTTCAAAAAAATGAAGCAGCTAAAAGAGGCTGTAACAACCTATGGTCCTCAAGCACCCTTCACTGTAAGCATGGTCGAATCCATTACCAACTTGAACATGACGCCAGCAGATTGGGCTAATATGTGTAAAGCTGTGCTAAATGGAGGACAATACCTGTTATGGAAGGTTGCCAATGAGGAATTTTGCCAGGAGTCGGCTAGGCGAAATGCAGCAGCTGGTTATCCTCAGAGAAATCTAGATATGTTGTTAGGAAAGGGACCTTATGAGGATCAGCAGCAACAAATTGCATATGATCATGGCGTATACATACAAATTGCTGTAGATGCAGTTAGGGCATGGAAGACTTTACAAGGACATGGAGGTTTACAAGGTCAATTATCTAAGATAATACAAGGAGCTAATGAACCTTATGCTGAATTTGTAGATAGGCTTATTCAAACAGCTACCAGAGTTTTGGGGAATACAGAACAAGCAATGCCATTAATAAAAAAACTGGATTATGAGCAAGCAAATCGTTGGTGCAGAGAAGTCATTAGACCATGGAAACATGAAGATTTAAACACATATATTAAATTATGTAGAGACATTAATGAACAAGGGCAAGCCGTGGCAGCTGCAGTACAACAGGTTTTAGATGCCAGAGACATTAATGAACAAGGGCAAATCGTGGCAGCTGCAGTAAAACAGGCTTTAGATGCCAGGGCAAGAACATGCTAAAATTGTGAACAAACAGGATATTTTAAAAGGAATTGCCCCATAGGAGGAGGGTTTAACAAAACTAGGTATCAAAGGAGTAGAATACCGGGTATTTGCCCACGATGCCATAGAGGGAGACATTGGGCTAATGAAAGCCGTTCTCAAACCACCATAGAGGGTACTCCATTATCAAAAAATGAAAAAGGACCAGGTGTTTATCCACAATATCGTGGAGAAAGGCATCGGGCTTCGTTGCCAAAAAATGGACAAATGGACAGGGGGCCCAATGCTCCGGGGCCCAAAACCACAAATATACGGAGCACTGGAGGAACCCAGCAATCCCATCAGGGTAGTACCCAAAACATTGTCCATTAGATCCCTCATCAGACAAACCAGAGGGAGCGCAGGGTTGGACATCTGTGCCTCCGCCAGAACAGTACTAACTCCAGAGATGGGAGTTCAAATCATTCCCACTGGGGTAAAAGGTCCTCTTCCCAAAGGAACAGTAGGCTTATTATTGGGACACAGTTCTTCTACTCTAAAAGGACTTATGATAAGTCCTGGAGTAATTGATCCCAATTATGAAGGTGAAATAAAAATTATAGCCAGTTCTCCAAAGGGTATATCAGTAATTTCACCAGGAGATAGAATAGAACAGTTACTAATAATACCCAGCCTACATGATAAATTTTCCAGTCGTACTGTAGAAAGAGGTTCCAAGGGATTAGGCTCCACAGGTGTAGATTGGGCTATGCTTTCTTTAAATTTAGATTCTCACCCCATGCTAAAACTAAATATTCAAGGACATGAATTTAATGGGCTAATGGATATAGGTGCAGACCTTAGCATCATCTCTCGTTAAGAATGGCCAAAACATTGGCCATTACAACAAGCCACTCAAATGCTTCAAGGCCTAGGAGTGGCAACTAATCTCCATAGAAGTGCAATGGTATTAGATTGGAAGGATCCTGTAGGATGTGAAGGAATTATACAACCATATGTATTGGTTCATCTTCCCGTAAACTTATGGGGATGAGATGTCCTAGATCAATTAGGTTTGACATTAACAAATAACATCAATCAAAATGCACCCACTATCATGGCTAGACAAGGTTTTAGGAAAGGAAAAAGATTAGAAAAACAAGAACAAGGTATAGCAGCACCAATACAAATATATCAAGGAATAGACAGACATGGGTTGGATTTTCAGAAAGGGCCACTGAGACAATAAAAATTACTTGGAAATCAGAAAGACCAGTATGGGTTCCTCAGTGGCCCCTGACTAAAGAAAAGATACAAGCAGCCCATGACCTGGTCAAACAACAATTAGCGGAAGGACATATACAACCTTCTGTATCTCCCCATAATACTCCCATTTTTGTCATCAAAAAGAAATCTGGTAAATGGAGATTATTGCAAGATTTAAGAGCCATTAATAATGAGATGGTTATTATGGGACCTGCTCAATCGGGGATTCCTCAATTGTCTGCTTTGCCAAAAACCTGGTATGTTTTAGTTATAGATATTAAAGATTGTTTTTTTTCAATTCCAATTCATCCTGAGGATAGTCCACGTTTTGCATTTACTATCCCTGCACTGAATTATGAAGGTCCTGATCAGAGATATGAATGGAAAGTACTCCCTCAAGGGATGGCTAACAGCCCAACTATGTGTCAAATTTATGTTAACAAAGTAATCCAGCCACTTAGAAATCAAAATCCTGAACTACAAATATTTCACTATATGGATGATGTATTTTTAGCACACAAAGATAAAAACACATTGCTGGAATGTTATGCCACACTTACACACTTATTAAAAAAATTATAATCTAGAGATAGCAACAGATAAAGAACAATTAAATTTTCCAATTAATTATTTAGGAGTTCTATTATCCTCAACCATGGTCCATCCACAAAAAATTCAAATAAGAGTAGATCAACTCAAATCAATTAACGACTTTCAAAAGTTATTAGGAGACATAAATTGGATAAGGCCTTATCTAGGTATACCAACAGGAGAGTTGGGACCTTTATTTGATATCCTAAAAGGTCCATCAGATCCAAATTCACCCCGAATGTTAACGCCTGAAGCAAGAAAGGCATTAAAAATGATTGAAACATATATGGAAAATATGCATTTGGGTAGAATTCATATAAGTTTGCCTTTATCATTTATTGTACTACCAACAAAAAATATTCCTACAGGAGTATTTTGGCAAGAA